TGCAACAAAAGATATGATGATGCATATCGCGATGCAGTGTATTGTTATATATGCTGGGGCATAGGTATAGAAGTAATAAATCCTTAACAGAACGGTCCAGCATGTATTAAATGATAGATCTCAATGAGCAACGCCGCAAAACGCAAAATGCAAAGCACTAGAGGATAATGTGATGTCGAGACCAAAGCGCGAGACGACGCAGTTGAATGAAAGTGACATTCTTTAACCGATGCTGGCCATGTGGTAGCCATGGGCGTCATTCCTGAAGCGAGGTAGCTTGCCTGGGCAGGGAGATAGTTCATCTCTTTCAAACAAGCCGCCACTTCCGATCCATGGGGGAGGGGATGGGGGGGAAAATTGGCCAAAGTAATAGTATAGAAGCAAGAAAGAGGATTTGAAGCACGATTCCTCGAATTTGATATAGAAATCCATGGGGAGGAGACTTACAATAAAATCCATGACAGGCTGTATGTGAGGATTAGAAGCCCGGGTAAGAATCACACCGCCATCCTGAACATTGAGACATAGTTTCAATCAGAGGATGCGACAGGAGATGCGATGGGGTGGTGGGTGGTTGGGTGGTTTAGCTGAAGTCGCCTCCGCAACAGCTGGGTGAAAAGAGCCCAAGAGACTGGAAACGGGGAGCGAACGGGTGGAGTAAACAGTGGAGAGGGAATTGGGAGATGATATAAGAATGCAGCAGTGATTATTGTAGGATGGGGCAGTCGGGTTGTCTGGTTACTCTGGTAGGTTGTAGGGCTGTTTAAGTCGGGTGGATAGCGTGGGAGAAGAGAGTGGATATTGAGGGAGAGACTAGACGGAGAAAACAGGGAGTCCAGGCAAGTTATAGTTATACATGTACGAACCATACACACTCAAATAGGACACAAATAGGATTCAAATCCCGAGGGATTATAATAGGGAAAAATAGAAGAAGAAAAAGGAGACGAAAAGAAGAAAATAAATGGTTTATTCAAGCAGCAAGAGGGAATTAACCACCTAATACAGGAAGCACTTTGCGGCTCTCTTCTTTTCTCGTAGTACATAACTACATGTTACATCTACATCTCTTTAACATTACAACATAAGATAGTCAGACATAGGTCATTCTTCCCCGAGCCCCTCACTCCTTCAAACCCCCAATGCAACCCCCGGTAATGTTATTATGATAAACGCAGAGACGACGAAGATGAAAGCAAATACTGTCGGTAAACAGGGGCTCTACGAGTGGGAGCAAATCGGAGCAGCGGAATTTCACATTTCCCCCCAAGCCCTATAGCCTGGATCCGGAGAGATGGAAAACCGCCGCGACTCGAAACCAGGGATCCAGCATTGTGACAAGACCAAAGGCTTGCATTCCAAAGGATGAATACCGCGACTCTCTTTTCCCCAGATGCTCCATGCTCCCTTATTATTAAATTATCACAGTTTTTATTTCCTCCAGAGAGTACAAACAGCCGTTTCCACCGCATTCCTGCAGCCCTTAATTCGCCCTGTTTGTTGACCCGAATTGGACCTTGGTTCAGCTGGTGGCTGTGGTGGCTGTGGTGGCTGTGGCGACTGTTGGAAGAACACCGGGCGGAAGAACGGGCTGGTTATCAACAGACTCGTAGACAACAGATTATTGTCAGACTTGCTTAGGATATGTGTGACAGGCCTGACGGGGAGGGCTTGGCCAGGTCCTCTCGATATTCGACGTTCGAAATCAATCCATGATCTGGCCTTCGATGGTCAGAGTCTGGCGCAGACACTTTCTTAGCTCCATGGCTAGCCTGTATTTAGCCCATCGGACAAGCCCAGTTTCAAGATACGAAGGCATGGATGGAGCGATATATGGAACCACCTCCGTACAGAAAGATAGGGTAATTTGGAGGAGAAGAGATAAGGGATCATCCCATCCCCATCCGTCGTCGGCAAATAGTAGGAATAGTTGATTGCTTTGTGCTAACGGGACTTGTTGTTCCGTACCCAGGTAAGGTTATGTTTTGGGGAGTTGTTTTTTGCTCTATCTTGAGAATTCTTGTTTAACTAACTTTAAAGTAGTTATACCAATTTCATCACATCTTTCCCAGCCATCCCCATACCCTTTTCGTGGCGTGGGGTGATTAGGAACCAACAAAAGTGACAGGAAAAAGCAAATCTCTATATCACAAACCTAAAAAGAGCTAAAAAGAGGGATTGGAGTGAAAATATTGAACATGATCAATTTGAGAGCTGCCTTATCATCTTTAAAATTCAGCCTCAACTTCCTTTTATTTTAACTAATAACGGTCCTACAGAGGGAATGCACTCAGAACACTCCTCTTGACTAACTTTCATCTCCGAACCCCCAGTTTCAAACTATTCATCCTCTCAATGTAACACGAGACGAGCGAGACAGGTACCTGATGCCCAACATCATTTTACCCCGTTTCCTTCATGCCATACGCCATATAACCCCTAGGATCCTAAATATACCTAAATATGTAGGTACTCTCTGATATACGATATCAAGAAAATTTTAGTCTAGCTAAAAGTAGGGTTTTCTATGACCTCGGCCTGGCAAGCTAAGAGGGCGGCGATCTTTATACGATCTGCGAAGCCTTGTTTGTCTAAGTCGGTCGGCACCCGGTGTTATGCGGGTGACGACCATCCTGTCTGACGCCTCATCTAGCTGAAAGAGGTGAGAGATTGAAAGAAGAGGAGTTTGGGGGGGAGGAAAGAAGGGAGGGAACAGGTTTCCAATCTATTGCATCTTGAAATATACCGGGATGGAGAGAAAAACATGGGGTCGATCTGATTGCGCTCTTGTAACTATATATCCAAGAGAAACTGGATTGCTGAAAAGAGGTAATAGGTGCCAAACCTTGATTTTTACTTACTTTGATTTCTGATGTGTCGCTTTGCTGCATATAGGATTTTAATTTTTTATTTAGGGTTCTGCATAAGGGTTTAAACTTGGCAAGTCTATTATACTCTTTTTTTTTTTTTTTTTTTTTTTTTTTTTTTTTTTTTTGCGATGTTCTCTCTGCAGAGTCCTGAATTGCGTTCATTGCTCGGTGCCCATGGGATGGGATAGCAGCTTAAAGGCACAAGATCAAAGCATCATCATGCAAACAACCATCCAGATACTCAATATAGCTTTTAACTAACCACCCTTTGAGATATAACAACAACTGAGCATTGACAGGCCGAGTGTCACATGGGATTGCAGGGAATCTCAACATCATTGTAATGCCCAATCTTCATGCTCAGTATCCGTAGTTAACGTATCGTAGACAATTACTTACGCAATGAACCAATGTTTTACCCTTTACATGGTGCATCAGATAGTTAATTTGTCAAATCTCCATCCCCGTCGCATGTCGCTGTCTATACACTTCTTCATCTGCCG